ATGAAAGGCGCTTCAGCACCAGTCTACTAACCAACATTTAGAATTGTGGGCTGAAGGGCATTCATTAATGCGTGTTTCCCTCCTTAACAGGCGGTGAGGTAGTAAAAATAGCCCACCTGGCTTCCATAGCATCAGCACAAGGCAGAATTGCGCAGCCAGAGACGCCTGTAACACTGCAGTTTCAAGGAAATAAATTTACTTTATCACACAGCCAACTCCGCCAGCTTACAGCAGGGCAGCCTCTGCAGCTGCAAGGTACTCTTCTGTCCAGCTTTAGTCAGTAGGTTTCTTAATGTTGAGATACTAGATGATTGGAATGGGGAAGGCTTTCCTCATTGGTTTGCTTGAAGCATATTAAAAAGGAGGTATTGATCCATATATGTGAAGTGAGGGGCAATTTCTCAAGAAAAAGTGTTGACCAGTTAGAGAAATGAAATTACAGGATTTTTATAAATTTTATTTGACTATTTCAGTCACGAATATATTCGTGCAAATAGAATAAAATAATTCTTTTATCAAAAATGAAATGTATAGTCATATGGAGCAAAATTCATATAATCTTTAACCTTGTTTCTGCAGTGTAACTTTTTTCTCTCTTCATAATAAACATGTTGTCTATATTTTAACCCAGAGCCACAGGTGTTGGCTCAGAGCCCACGTCTGCAAGCAGAGCTATCATCAGCAGTAGTGAGAGTGGCAATACCATACCATAGCATCCTTACATCTGAGTTGCTTCTTTCAGAGCTGGGCAGCTGAAGAGTGGTGACTACTAACTGTGGACCCAGCTCTGCAGGCAGCAACGCAGAAGTAAGGGCAGCATAATATGATATTGACACCTTTACTTCTATGTTGCTGCTTGAGGGTGCTTGCTTTAGAGCTGTACACCCAGCTAACAACCTCTGAAAGCAGTACAGGCATAAGAGTGGTAGTACCACAACCCCCCTAAAATAATCTTGTGACCCTCCTGCAACTTCCTTTTGGCTCAGGACACCAATTTGGTTTTCCTTGTGAAATCTGTATAGTATAGGGCAGTGTTTCCCAATTGGTGCTCGGGGGAACCCTGGGGTTCCGCGAAGCAAAACTAGGGGTTCCGTGAGGAGCCTCCTCTGAAAGAGAGAGAGAGCCGGCTAGCCAGCAGAGGAATGGGCGGTGAGTTGTGTGTGCTCGTGGTGCCCATGCTCCACCAATATTTGGAGCTGGAGCAAGCCCCCCTGCTCCTCCCACGCGCGCGTCATCCCACCCCGACCCAGAGCATCTCTCCCCCAGCCCTGTCCCTGGCCTGTCCCTGCTGTGTGCAACCTTCACTGAGCTCCCCCTTGCTGGCTGCTGCTGCCCTGCACAGTGTGCTCAAACCGGTGGGCGGGGAGACGGCCCAGGATTTTAAAACTGCTGGGCGCTGCGTTGCGCCGTGCAGCTGAGTTGTGGGTTCGGAGTCTGGGGACGGAGCACAGACTCCAGCCCCTCAAAGTGGAAGGCAGAAGGTAGGGGAAGGGGAAGGGCTGGGAGAGGAAGGGGCTTGTGCAGAGGGGGAG